AAACCCCAACCACCACCGGAATTTTTTTTTTTTTTTCCCTACACGTGCCTTGCGACTTKTCAAACACCCCCGCTTCGAAAAATTTGCGAAATGGGGGGGGGTGTATTTTTTTTTGTACCCTCATAGGGGACAAAAATTGACCCCCCCAGAAAATTATTATTATTTTTTTTTTCCGTGCATGGGCCTGGGGACGCTCATGCGCCGCCGTGAGCCGTTTTCGGATTTCCGAACGGACCTCCGTTTCGGCCGCCACGGCGCCGTGCGTCCGCGGACGGCTGCCGCCGAGGGAGATTCGTAGCCTGAAATCACGCATAACCTAGCCGGCCAAATTGGCAAATTTTCTTTTTCTTTTATAATATAGAATAAACAGCTATGCCCAAATTACTTTCCTGGCCATCAGGACGCTTGGGACCTGCCTGGGGCGTTGTCTGGCCGCAAAGCCAGGCGGGTCTCGCGGTTAGGTCCCTGAGCAACCTCCGGTCCTCCTCCCTCTAGCCATCCACCTCTCTCCTCCCTCAGGGTGCCTCCTTCCTCCTCCTTCCACTCGTCAACCTTCCTCCTCACTCCTGCTATCTACCTACTGCCATCTGCCTCCTCCCTCCCGCCATCTACTTCCCTCCTCCCTCCCATCATCCACCTCTCTCCTCCCTTTGCTATCTCCCTCCTACCTCCCTACCACCACCCACCTCCCTCTTTCCTCATGCCATTTCCCTCCTCCGTCTTGGGATCCAACTCTCTCCCTCCCTCGTGCCATCTACCTCTCTCGTCCGTCCTCTGTCCTTCCTCCTGCCATCTCCCTCTTTGACCACACCATCTCATCTCGCTCCCACTGTCTACCTCTCTCCTCCATCCCTCCATCGCCGTCCTCACTACCTTCTGCCTTGTGCCAGCTCCCTCCCACCTCCCTCTTCCATCATGCCATCTCCCTCTTCCCTCGTGCGATCCACCTCGCTCTCTCCTCCCTCCCACCAATGCCACCGTCCCACCTCTGTTCTTCCCCGTGCCATATTCCTCCTCCACCTCTCTCCACTGTCCCTCCATCTCCATCCTCACTACCTTCTGCCTTGTACCAGCTCCCTCCCACCTCCCTCTTCCCTCATGCCATCTCCCTCCTCTCTCATGGGATCCACCTCCCTCTCTCCTCCCTCCTACCAATGCCACCATCCCACCTCTGTTCTTCCTGCCATTTTCCTCCTCCACCGCACCGTCTCATCTCACTTCCACTGTTTACCTCTCTCCTCTATCCCCCCATCTCCCTCCTCACTACCTCTGCTATTTTCCTCCTCCACCGCACCGTCTCATCTCACTTCCACTGTTTACCTCTCTCCTCTATCCCCCCATCTCCCTCCTCACTACCTTCTGCCTTGTGCCAGCTCCCTCCTCCCTTCTCCCTCCTGCCATCTACCTCCTCCACGCACCCCCCGCTCCACTCCAGCCCACCCCTTTCACAAACGCCCACAAGGAAAAGGCCCAGATTTGGCCCGATCTCAGTGGACGCAGCAAAACCCCACTATGCAAAGAAAACAAAACCAAAAAAAAAAAGACAGACATGCAGGCCGCACAGAAGCCCCACCAATGGATGGAGCCTTGTTTTTTCGGGAAAAA